CCCCGGTCCCGCACAGCCCTGGCTCAGCGACGCCGAGGACGCCCCGTTCCTCGACCCCGTCCTGCGCAAACGCGCCGTGAAGGTCAAGCACGTCAAGCGCCGCGAGAAGAAGTCGGACAAGAAGGTGGGGCGGGGAGGGCACTGGGGGCAACTGGGAGGGTTCTGGAGAGGTGCTGGTCCTAACTGGTGCTAACTGGTGGCCACTGGTGCAGAAGGAGGAGCGGTACAAGCGGCACCGGCAGCGCGCCCGGCACCGGGAGCGCCGGGGACACCCCGAACGCGCCGACGCCCGGGACCCCGCGGGGCTGGGCCAGTGTCTGGGGCCCGGCTGCACCCGCCCTGCCCGCCCCCCCTCCAAGTACTGCAGCGAGGCCTGTGGCATCAAACTGGCTGCCAAGTGAGTACCCACGAGTACGGACCAGTACAGACTGGTATAGGCCAGTAGAGATAGGTACAGACCAGTACAAACTAGTACATATAGCTACAGACCAGTACAAACCAGTACAGTTGGGTACAGACCAGTACAAACTGGTACAGATAGGAACAGACAGGTACAAATCAGTACAGATAGATACAGACCAGTACAAACCGGTACAGATAGATACAGACTGGTACAAACCAGTACAGGTAACTATGGAGTGGTATAGACCAGTAATGACATTTATAAACTCATATAAAGTAGTGCAGACCAGTAATGACTTGTATAGGTTGATAGAAATAACTGTAGACCAGTATAGATTGCCACAGACCGGTATAAACCGGCATACACTGGTAGTGACCTGTGTAGACCAGTATAAACTAGTCCAGACCAATAACAAGCTGTATGGACCGATACAAACCAGTACAGACCAGACCAGGACAGAGCAGAGCCCCTTTGGATCCGGGGGGCCGGTCCTCCCCCCCTGTGCCCCCTCCCCAGGTCCCAGCTGGCCCAGTGAGATCCCACCCCCGGGATCCTGGGATGGATCCCACACTCAGTGCCAGCATCCCAGGGGGGCCTGTTAACCCCATCCCACCCCCATTCCCAGCCGGATCTACGAGATCCTGCCGCAGCGGATCCAGCAGTGGCAGCAGAGCCCGTGCGTGGCCGAGGAACACGGGAAGCGGCTCCTGGAGCGGATCCGGCGGGAGCAGCACCAGGCGCGGCTGCGGCTGCAGGAGATGGAGCGGCGCTTCCACGAGCTCGAGGGGCTCATCGCCCGCGCCAAGGGGCACCCGCCCCGCGAGGATGAGGAGGTGGGGACCCCCCGAAACCCTCCAGGACCTCTCTGGGGTCTCCCAAATTCCCCTGAGCTCCGAAATCCCCTGGGACCCCCAAACCCCTCCCACGAGCTCGAGGGGCTCATTGCCCGCATGAAGGGGTACCTGACCCGTGAGGATGAGGAGGGGGCGACCCCCAAAGTCCCCCTGAAGCCCAAAACCCCCCAGGATCTCCAAGCCCCATCCATGAACTCGAGGTGTCCGCGCCAAGGGACACCCACCCTGCAAGGATGAGGAGGTGGTGGCACCCAGGGACCCCAAAACCCCCAGGGACCCCTGAACATCAACACACACCTCCTGGAGGTTTGGAGATCCCCCA